GAGCGTGATAGGAGCCAATGGAGAAATCACAAAAGAACCGTTCAGATAAGTCACGTTCACCTTGACGGACTTTCGGCCGGGTCTATAAAAGAGACGTAAGCCCTGCTCGATGGCGCAGTCACAGTCACGGTGGAACCGTACAAAATGTTTCGTTCAATTGTTTCTGTCCTCATCGTGGCCGTGGCGCTGGTTCACGCGGCTGTCATCGATGTTTCCCAGGAGAAGAACGTGCACCTGGAATTCACCAGCAACGAAGAGGAGCAGCAAACGAAATCGGTGAGTGACCCTGAGATCTTGCTGTAGGTCTCCTGTTTGACGAATAAACCAAATTGCTGGGAGAAAAGGAATAATCGATGGGAACTCGTCATTGAAGAGGAAATAGATTATACGAAATGATCTACGATGATCTTGTTAGTGGTGGATGAAATATCAATAACAATAAGAACAATTCTTTATTTAATTAGACGAAAAATGATCAAACACAAATATTAAGTATAAATTTAATTGATTTCTCGCAATCACATGCTCACACCTATTTTCACTATTAAGCTGACCAATCTCTTTGATTTGTTCTTTCTACTTTCATATGTTACATGACATACATAATTCACACACACCTCGATCATTACACGTATACTCATTTATCACGATAACCTGAATTCATTAGATATTGGCATCCCATGCTTACTTGTCCCACTCATCCCTTTCTTACAGACATCGCTCCTTTATTATATCAACACATATATATTCAAAATCTATATTAACCATTACCACATTTTATTCCATAATTTTTCCTATTTCTTCAATTATATTCGTAGAAGAATTCTAAATTTATATTTACAGTCAGTCATGAAAATATTCAGCTAGGTATATCACAAATTTTTACCAATCGAGTCTTTTATTTTTATTCGATGATCTTTCCAGTTTTTTAAATTATATTCGTCGAAGAATTCTAAATTTATATTTACAGTCGGCCAGAAAAATATTCAAAAGGTATATCACAAATTTTTACCAATCGTATCTTCCATTTTTATGTTAGTGCTGGATGAAATATCAATAACAATAAGAACAATTCTTTATATAATTACAAAAATGATCAAACACAAATATTAAGTATAAATTTAATTAATTCCTCGCAATCACATGCTCACACCTATTTTCACTATTACGACTGAATAATAACTGACCTATGCCCAATCTTTCTGATTTGTTCTTTCTACTTTCATACGTTACATGAACATACACAATTCACACACACCTCGATCATTACACGCATACTCATTTATCATGATAATCTGGATCCATTATAAGATCAATATTAATAGGATTAATAACTTTTACAAAATTAGGAATTTATGGTAGATATTTAATAATAATTGCTCATGGTTGATATTGGTACCCATGCATACTTGTACCACTTATCCCTTTCTTACAAACAAAGCTCCTTTATTATATCGACACATACATGTTCAAAATCTATGTTATCCATTACCACAGATCTATTATTATATTTTATCTCGATCAGAGGGGAGATATTTCATTTTAGATGATTTATGTGTAGTGCTTAGTCTGGTTACTTTGACTGAAGGATTTTGTAGATTTGAGAACATTTTTGAACCTGCTCATTTAAGACAAATGTAATTAAAGGAATGGCAATTAGAATAAAATGAGACTAGAGAAAGTATAACTAGAAGAAAATGATTTACAGAAGATTTTTAGTGTCAGTCTCTTAATTTATTACATTGAAAGAAATTTACAGAAATGTTGAATAAATTATTTTATTATCAAAATATTCTTCATTCATACAAAAAGAAGTTATTAAATCCTTTATTATAAACTGACATTTCTGGCATACCTAGCTAATCATATACTTAGCTTGGTTAACTTTTGAGATTATACTCGACCTAGCTACGTCATTTAATTAAAAATAAATAAATAAATAAAATAAGAAACGAAAGTATATGTTTTCATTCATTTTTAAAAAGTTTTCCTAAACGTAGTATTTTATTTCATCAAATAAATAAATAAATAAAATAAGAAACGAAAGTATATGTTTTAATTTATTTTTCAAAAGCATTCCTAAACGTAGAATTTTATTTCATCAAATAAATAAATAAATAAATAAATAAATAAAATAAGAAACGAAAGTATATGTTTTCATTCATTTTTCAAAAGTATTCCTAAACGTAGTACTTTATTTCATCAAATAAATAAATAAACAAATAAAATAAGGAACGAAAGTATGTCTTAAATTATTTTTCAAAAGCATTCCTAAACGTAGAATTTTATTTCATCAAATAAATAAATAAATAAATAAATAAATAAAATAAGAAACGAAAGTATATGTTTTCATTCATTTTTCAAAAGTATTCCTAAACGTAGTACTTTATTTCATCAAATAAATAAATAAACAAATAAAATAAGGAACGAAAGTATGTCTTAAATTATTTTTCAAAAGCATTCCTAAACGTAGAATTTTATTTCATCAAATAAATAAATAAATAAATAAAATAAAGAACGAAAGTATATGTTTTCATTTATTTTTCAAAAGTATTCCTAAACGTAGTATTTTATTTCATCAAATAAATAAATAAATAAAATAAGACACAAAAGTATATGTTTTCATTTATTTGTCAAAAGTATCCCTAAATATAGTATTTTATTTCATCAAATAAATAAATAAATAAAATAAGACACGAAAGTATATGTTTTCATTTATTTGTCAAAAGTATCCCTAAATATAGTATTTTATTTCATCAAATAAATAAATAAATAAAATAAGACACGAAAGTATATGTTTTCATTTATTTGTCAAAAGTATCCCTAAATATAGTATTTTATTTCATCAAATAAATAAATAAATAAAATAAGACACGAAAGTATATGTTTTCATTTATTTGTCAAAAGTATCCCTAAATATAGTATTTTATTTCATCAAATAAATAAATAAATAAAATAAGACACGAAAGTATATGTTTTCATTTATTTGTCAAAAGTATCCCTAAATATAGTATTTTATTTCATCAAATAAATAAATAAAATAAGAAACGAAAGTATATGTTTCAATTTATTTTTCAAAAGTATCCCCAAACGTAGAATTTTATTTCATCTCCCTTTGTCCACAGCTGGGCCCCTATCCCGAGGAACGTGGACCTCTCTTTATCGGTGACCTGGTCGCTGGTCAGCGCTATGCAGACGAAACAGTCTTCCGTCGAGTAATCGAATTCAACAATCCAACTAACACGATCCAAGCTACCACTTTAGACGTGTCTGTGACCAGTGGTAAGACTTTCCATTTAATCACTAATTATTCTCCACGATCCTACATTTGCAAATTACAAACTATCATAAAAGTTTCACGAAATTATTGACGAACACAATCACTTGATCTCGAACGTATTAACCCTTTGCACTCGAGAGGTGAGCTTCAGTCACCATTTCATAAAATTTGGAAGATCGATATTAACTAATATATCAAATTTAATGTAATGTAACAGTGTGCGAGGTATCGAAGTCAAATAATTCTACAATTCTATTGTTATGCAATTCTTTATTTACTGCTCAAAAAAGTATCGTCAGTTTTTTAGTAGAGAATCTTTGAATTTCTACTGTTTTCTAGTCAAAAAATCGTCGAGTGCAAAGGGTTAATATTTTAATTCGTCAATTTAATTTGCAATGAAAGTGATTTCTCTTGGCAAATTTGGTCACGTGAATGGCGTTTCGCAGGAAGCATTCATTACCTGAGTGCTCGCAACGTACAAGGTAGCCAAGCAGTTGTCTGCGGTCATCCAAACGAGTTAGGAAGGAGCAAAACCAGCATCAACCTTCGAGTGCCACCCAATTCTTTGGCTACCCTAAACCTTCTCGTTGCAGCACACGATCGTACGAAACGTTGGGTGTAGAAATAGTATTATGTTTGGATAAGATTAGGATTAATAGTGTTAGCTATGGAATATTACGAAGTGTTCTTAAGTAGTAAGTTTTAGGATATTTCATCCGGGGAAATAGTTAATAGTTAGACGCGTTAAGATCACGTTACGTGATCTTGTAAAATTTTGAAATAATAAAGTGAACAAATTAAACGAGTTATATTTAATTCCGAACGTGTTTCAACATCCTAGTAATTAACGTTAATTAATACCTGGTTTTTCGTATTTCCTGATTAACCGTGATTTAATTGCGCAATTGTTACCAAATTTATGTACTGCTCGTTATATTTGGAGATAATTATTCTGTTTCAAAATATAATATTATAAACTCGATATATAAGGATATAAGGATATAATATTATATCCTTAATTTATTTCATTAATTACGAGACTTAGCTTTACAGTAATTAAATTATTTACAATATTGTTTATTAAAAAATGAAGAAATTATGAATGATTGCAGTAGTTTACATCAGTTTGAAGTACAGAAACTAATAATAATTGTAAATAATTTCTTCTGGCACAAAGAAGATAATTAACTAATCCATTCTAGAGATATTTAAGTAGAATAAGAAAATAATTTCACCCACGCATTGTGATGTTATAAAATACAAATAGAGAACAGAGAAAATTAAAAAATAAAAGAAATTTAAGATTATCTGTGTCTCTATAATGGCGCAGATGGAAAGCAAGAATTAATTATTAAATAAAAAATTAATTATTGTTTACTAACTCAACAAAATTAGGGAATGGAACCAAATAAGCAACCGATTAAAAATGATAAATAATAACAGAATTGACAGAAATGGCATAAACAGAATACAAAAATTAATCATTGGAATACATAATTACTTATATATGGCACAGATGAAGTGCAAAAAATTAATTATTAGATAAAAAATTAATTATTATTTACAAACTCAACAAAATTAGGGAATGGAATTAAATATCCAACCGATTACAAATTACCAATAATGGCAGAAATGACAGAAATGGCATAAACAGAGTACAAAAATTAATTATAAAAATATATAATTACTTACACAAATTACTTATATATAATTACTTATATAAGAACTCGGAAAACTGGACTAGAATTTCTACAATACAAAACCTTCACCTATTACATTAAAATATCCCGTTCCAGATTTGCAAAAGGTCACCGAACGATCACCTTCTCCCGCAGCTTTCAAGCAGAAAATATCCCGGAACGGTGAACGTTTGTTTTCCACTGCTCGCATTATTATCGCAATTAAGCGGCCGTACAGGCCGCCACAGCGCGCAATTAGGGTTGCGTAACGAGCGGCCGAACAATCCTGCAAACAAATCACGTTTCGCGTCCGCGCGACACATGCGCGCACACCGGCCGATTGTATGCGTAACAGGTGAGCCACCTGACAAATGTAAATTTCGCGAATACTATTTTCATCGCGTCACGTCAGCGCAAATTTTTATGTCTCTTTGGACAATGCTGATTCATGAATACCACGTCCGTAAATCAAAAGCATTTCATGAATAACAAACTCTCGAACCGACCCGTGGAAGGGACCGGAGAAACGAGGAGGGACCGAGGTACTTGTGAGAACGACATTGATACCTGATCGTATCGTGGGCCATTCCAGGGGATTCGGAGAACATGATTTTGGAAATATCTGCACAATCGAAGCGACGATATCGGTTTGATTCGTTTGACAGTCCCGAACGCTGGTCAAACATATGTCATATAAGCAGGGCAGCAAAGTGCACGTCGATAAATCTTTCCACCCCGACTTAAAACCGGTGCAACCCTACCCTGTTAGGTTTAAACGTGATTTAAAGTTCCTCTCGAGAAGTTAGCGTTGATTCGTTGCATAAATGAACAATTTTTAAAGCTGTATACTTGATAAGTAGCCTCGTGTAATAAAACTTTCGACGATATTTCGTCCGACTGACCTCTCTGTCCAGCTGAGAGAAAAGAGGGGCAATCCTCTTACCTCTGTGAACTGTCTTTGGCTTTATCGATTAGGATGGATTCGAGAATAAATGAATATTGATGATAGGTAACAGTATAATGAAGTTATAATAATAATAACATTATTACGATAGTTCTTCCCTTAACGATATACTATAATATTAGCATCAGCTTTTGCGATCATGCGCTGATAATATTTTTAAACGGAAGATATTGTTGCGGCCCCAGGACCGAACGTCCCGAGTTAAGTGGAGGACTGTTCATGTCCTTACTGTCAGCGTCCCTTGATTCGTATACGCTCGTTATCACCTGGTCACCACTTGGGCGAACCTTAGCAAGGGTCAATAAATCACCCTTAAGACGATAGGCATTAGGATCCAAATTATTTAAACATCCACCAGTACCGAAAGACGTCGAAGCTAGCACACATCCCCGATATTATTCACAACCAATAGGAGGACACACATCCACCACTAACATTTCACACCAACCAATCAGTAGATATACAAGACTTATGAAACCACCGAGACAGCAGTCACGAGAGAGTTCTCCTAAAATTCCCAAGAACTCAGCGCGAGAGACAGTCACACATCAGAACTCCTCAGTTCACCCCTAACCAGGTCTAGCTCTATTAACCCTATGCGGACGGAGCAGTTTTGAGTAAATCATACTATGGGTCCAAGTCGCTGCAGCGATAGTCATTCAAAACTACCAGCGCTCATTTCTGCTTAACCACTTGCGTTGGCAAGAAATTCACAGACGCGTGTGCCAGAACGGTGAAATTGCGGTGTTTCTGTGACAATTGCCTATCACTTACATTACTACAAGAAAGTAGGCTGAAATTGCTGTTATAGAAAAATAATGGTACCTGATTTTAAGTACCTGTCTATTGTTTGTTGATAAAATGGTTGACAGAATAGTCTCGATGTAATAGCTCCATTTTTCTTAATGACACGTGAATTTTCATTGCTGACAGAAAATGTTACACTTGTAAATGCGATGCTAGAAATGCAAAGTGTCGCATTTATAAACGAATCAGAAATTCAGTGTTAAGTAGGAACGTATGATGTACCTAAATATGGCGTGCATTGTTAATAATAATATGGACTTAGTAATTCTATCGACTATGATCAAATAATTATGATAATTTTTTGAATCTTGATTGTGCGATTATCATACAAGGGGTATGACTAATGAGCCACTTTCTCTTCCATGACGAAGGCTGTTAAATGAGTAGGCTACTATATCATAACGTTATTATAATGCTACCTTACCTTCATATCTAGGCTATCTAGTAATCATTGATCCTCTTGAAAGTAATTGAGATAAAAATAAAATAAGGAAAGCGATAAATATATGTAGTATAAACAATATTACAATTAAAAAGAAGATATTTCGTGAAATATAAATCTTCAAAGATATAACCAGATCGGGAACGTATCACGGGCCAGGCTCGTGATAGTCAGTTTTGCCCGATCGACGTACCACGAGTCAGACTCGTGATAATCAGTTTTGGCTCAAAAACCTGACCACGAGCCTCACACGTGGTTGTAGACCAAAGATATATATATATAAGATTATAAAAATTATAATAAGATTATAAAAAAATTTATAAATATCCTATTACTCTTTAATTTTCTTCCATGAAATTCATTTTTCAAAATTAATCTACTACGTCAAGATGCAAGCAAAAATCAACGATAAAAGAATAATAATAGAGAAATCTTCAAAATCAACTCTTCAACCTTCCCAATTCACACACTTCAACGAACAAACATAATTTACAATTTAAATAAAGACATCAACAACGATCAAGTTTATCCAATGATAAATAAATTATTTATTATGAGAAATAAAAATAAAGAAAATGCAGGAAGAGTTACATCGATATTCAGCCTCAGATCGAAAAGATATGAGAGGATGGAAGAAAATTGTGGTAAACAATTCTGCTCCCGAATCATGGCGGGCAAATACACAGAAGCGTAATGGCGATGCATACAGGGAACTTTTCCCGAGGGAAAAACAAGGAGCAAGCTCAGAACAGCAACGAGAATCCCTAAGTGGCATGGTCGGAGTTTAACACGGAATTCCGTCGAGTCTTATTACGGAAATGAACTCGCAGGGTGAATTGCCCTCCTTCGCAGAAGATATCTCAGCCTAATTCTATAGTCTATAGATCCATGGTTTAATATCAGCGATAAGTTCCCAGGAAATTTTTAACAAACAGACAAGTAATCCAAATTATTCTTCCTCGAGGTTCGTAACGAGGGTAAGATGGATAAACACACGAAGAGACATTATATTTAATCATTAACCCTTTGCACTCGGCGATTTTTCGTTACAGAAAAATAATAATTCGAAGAATTATTATTACAAATATATGAATAAATAATTTCGAAGATTTTCGGCCATAAAATTAAGGTTAGGTACCGCGGACAAGATGGCGGCGCACCCTTGGTTCGGTTCCTTGGCATTTTGAGGTTAACTCTTTGCACTCGTTATTCGTTTCTCGTTACAGGAAAATAGTAATTCGAAAAACCTCTGCCATAAAGTCGACGATATTTCTAAAACGGTAAATAAGAAATCGTATGAAAATTAAGACGTAGAATTATTTTACTTCGATATTCGTTGGGTAATTGTAAATTTGATATATTAATTAACAGCCATCTTTAGAATATGATTAAATGGCGACTGAGAGGCGCCTCTCGTGTGCAAAGGGTTAACTTGTCACGTGACGTCAAATTAACTTTATATAAATATTGATAAAGCATGTTAAATTTATATTATATATATATTAAAATTAAAAAATAAATAAATTTCACTGTGATGCCCAATAAAAAGCAGAGACAAATAAGTATTATAGTAACTGCTCTAACATTTATCAACAACAGAGTGTATATTGGTAGAAAAATAGTAGATTTAAAATTTGAAAAAGATTTTAAAGGAAGACAGTAAGAAATAAGAGATGGAAATAAAAAAGTATTTTCTACAAGAAAAGGAAGAAAATTAAGAGAAAGTCCCT